CTACCCTGCTGCTCCCTCTATTACATCTTTTTTTCCATTTATCTCAATATCTGTGGCATAAGGGGAAGAAATTATTCACAGAGCCTTCTTCTCTAGTTAAAGTCAGGAGTGACAAGTTCAGCGGAATCAAACATTCTAGTTCTGATTCTCAATATGTTTCACTGAGATGTTTGCTATTGATTCATGGAGGAAAAGTGTTGTGTCTTCTTCATATTGGGCCAAAGTGTAGTAAGTTGTAGTAAGTGTAGTAAGTTAGAAGAAAAAGATAAGCAAATGTTGTACCAATATTGTAGATGTTATCGAAAACTTAAGATAAATACATTGGACTAACGTGTCCTTAATAACAAAGTTATAGCTTTGTTTTTATTTTTTTCCTTAAGAGGTAACCTAAAGTTTAAATTTACATTGTAATTACAGCCTTTCTTTTATAAGTTGAACCGCATTATTTTGATCCACTGACCAAACTCATTCTTATTCACTGCTTTTTAAAGTTGACATTTGACTTCCACAGCTGTAGAGTTAGCAAGAAGCAAAAGAATATTTAATATTCAAGACAGCAGATTCCAAACCACCATACCATTCCATTGTATGAAATATCCTATAATGAGTATATTGACTGATGGGAAGAATTATATATAAAACTAGTTGAGGACAACTGGAGGTGCTCATATATTTATTTCCTTGCTGATACCCCTTAATCAAATAACAGAGACAAGCAATTCTAGCTATTCAGACTACTAGGGCTGATTTTCTAAGAGACCATGTCTTCTATATGTGTTTACCAAAATAGAGTTGAGAACAACTTTTGGTTCTGCAGGCCTTGAGTCTCCGAATCAAATAAAATATGAATTAGACATGCTCCCTTCCATTATGATTTGATGTTCAACATCAGAAATAATTAACCTATTCATTCAGTATATAACTATGGTGCAATTGCTGTAGGTCAGGCTTTCCATTAGGCACTGGGGATGGATCTGTGACAGTCTTATCCTTCAGAGAAGAGAATTTAGTAAGAAAGAAAAGAATGCGTGAGTCATCATTAAAAAGATGAATACTGTTAAGATAAAAGCAGCACCCAGGAGGAGGAGTCCAGGTAGGTCATGAGAGCCACGGTGACAATAGGTATGGAGAAGTCCTCTGGAAGAGGTGGACTATCAGGTGAGACTTGATTTCAGAGTTAAGATTGAACAAGCACATCGAATCTTGCTTCCTCAAATATTCCAGAACAAGGCCATAGAGTCTTTTAAAAACATTAACTCACAAGAACAGAGAACAGAAAGGACAAGAGAAGGTTTTGGAGCTTAAAAGAAAATCAACAAGTAGGCTCTGGTTTAGCAGAAACCTGAATCAAATCTACAAGGAGGATGGGGGTGGGGTTGCTACTGGAGAATCAAGGTCTGAGTTTCAGGGAGCCTCCTGGCTGCCCTCTACTGAGCAACTGCCCCTCACCTCCTCCAGTAGGAGGTTGGCACTTCATTCCCTGGAAAGGGTAAAGGACAAAGTCTTTGGTCAACAACATAATTCTGTGACTCAAAAATAATGAAAGAATAGAAATGATGTCCGAGCAAAATTGTCCTTCACTGCAAGACCACAAGCACTGAGGTGGGATAGAAATAAAGATAGGTAGGACAGAAGACAAGCAAAAAGCGTAATTTTTAAATTGTACTTTTAAGAAACTGCAGCTTTGGGAAAAAAAATCAAAGTTACCCAAGTCTACATTACGGTTTTATTTTCTTTCCAAAGTAACTCACTCCAAAAATCCCTGAGTCTTAAAAAATACAATAAGCTTATACAATGAGAGCCCTTCCTTGCCTCACACCTATAAATGGAGTCCTGCTTTCTTTAGATTCAAATAGTCCACAGATTTTCACCCCACAAAATACCTAAATATCCCCAACCCCAGACCATAATGCCCCTCATTCTTTGAGCACTTGCACTCCTTTCTGCACTCCCTGCTTGATTGTGCCTTTTACTAATAAGTCCTGTGATCCTTTTCCATCATGAGTCAAGAAACTACTCTGTGTGTAGAGGTGAGCTGAGGTCTCCCCA